TGCCATTTTCATCCTAGGTATACCTCAACTATGAGAGACAAAACGAGAAAAAAAAAATCCAGAAAATCACATTGTCTGATTTTTAAAGAATTTATTTGCAAATTATGGTGGAAAATAAGTATTTGGTCTATAACAAAAGTTAATCTCAATACTTTGTTATCTACCCTTTGTTGGCAATGACAGAGGTCAAACGTTTTCTGTAAGTCTTCACAAGGTTTTCACACACTGTTGCTGGTATTTTGGCCCATTCCTCCATGCAGATCTCCTCTAGAGCAGTGATGTTTTGGGGCTGTCGCTGGGCAACACAGACTTTCAACTCCCTCCAAAGATTTTCTTTGGGGTTGAGATCTGGAGACTGGCTAGGCCACTCCAGGACCTTGAAATGCTTCTTACGAAGCCACTCCTTCGTTGCCCGGGCGGTGTGTTTGGGATCATTGTCATGCTGAAAGACCCAGCCACGTTTCATCTTCAATGTCCTTGCTGATGGAAGGAGGTTGTCACTCCAAATCTCACGATACATGGCCCCATTCATTCTTTCCTTTACACGGATCAGTTGTCCTGGTCCCTTTGCAGAAAAACAGCCCCAAAGCATGATGTTTCCACCCCCATGTTTCACAGTAGGTATGGTGTTCTTTGGATGCAACTCACCATTCTTTCTCCTCCAAACACGTCTAGTTGAGTTTTTACCAAAAAGTTCTATTTTGGTTTCATCTGACCATATGACATTCTCCCAATCCTCTTCTGGATAATCTAAATGCTCTCTAGCAAACTTCAGACGGGCCTGGACATGTACTGCTTAAGCAGGGGGACACGTCTGGCACTGCAGATTGAGTCCCTGGCGGCGTAGTGTGTTACTGATGGTAGCCTTTGTTACTTTGGTCCCAGCTCTCTGCAGGTCATTGACTAGGTCCCCCCGTGTGGTTCTGGGATTTTTGCTCACCGTTCTTGTGATCATTTTGACCCCACGGGGTGAGATCTTGCGTGGAGCCCCAGATCGAGGGAGATTATCAGTGGTCTTGTATGTCTTCCATTTTCTAATAATTGCTCCCACAGTTGATTTCTTCACACCAAGCTGCTTACCTATTGCAGATTCAGTCTTCCCAGCCTGGTGCAGGTCTACGATGTTGTTTCTGGTGTCCTTTGACAGCTCTTTGGTATTGGCCATAGTGGAGTTTGGAGTGCGACTGTTTGAGGTTGTGGACAGGTGTCTTTTATACTGATAACGAGTTCGAACAGGTGCCATTAATACAGTTAACAAGTGGAGGACAGAGGAGGCTCTTAAAGAAGAAGTTACAGGTCTGTGAGAGCCAGAAATCTTGTTTGTTTGTAGGTGACCAAATACTTATTTTCCACCATAATTTGCAAATAAATTCTTTAAAAATCAGACAATGTGATTTTCTGGATTTTCTTTTCTCATTTTGTCTCTCATAGTTGAGGTATACCTAGGATGAAAATTACAGGCCTCTCTCATCTTTTTAAGTGGGAGAACTTGCACAATTGGTGGCTGACTAAATACTTTTTTGCCCCACTGTACATGGCTAAATGAAAGGCTGAAATACTGTATCTGGAAAATAACCTACAACACTGCACACGTCAATGAGAAAAAGCATAATAAAGGATGGACAGAAACTGGTTTGCGAGCTTGAAAAACATGTGACTGTTATTCCATTCAGCAAATGTATATGTATTTAACAAATAAGATTGTAATGGGACAAAAGGTTTCAAAAATTCTATACAGTACAATAGATGCCCAGGCAGCTTACTAAAGCATAACACATTCATTTTTCTATTCTATTGTATCATAAAGGGACTATAACTTGAATGTTTTCCCTCACTGTGTTGTAGAATGACAATAATTGAACCTTGAATTGAAATCGAAGCTGAATGAGCAGCAATATAAAACATGTTTGACTCTGAAAGCTGTCCATTATAAACGTAACTGCCAGAGATGCTAGGCTTTCAGTATGGAAAGTGAAATAAAGGCAGATGCAGTGAGGTGTTTGTAGCTGACATGAAGACAGCGGTTGAAGTTTAATGACATCTGTGTATGGTAATTATACATGCGGCAGACCTAAGGGAGACGGCTCCCAAAGTAGGTTAACATTAAAGTGTAGGGAGACCATGCAGGTGTGTCGTGTGGGCCCACATGGGTAAAAACGGTCATTTGGGGTTTATATCCAGAAGGCCCACTTAACCGGATGGACGAGTAATGAGTTCACCGTGAGGGGGGGTTACTGCAGGCACATGCAAATGCCTAGAAGTTAAAAGCAATTTAGGGAAAATGACAGAGCCTAGAGGCAAGACGTGCTTGAAAATCTGGTGGTTACAGACTCTCTCTGTCACAGCAGTCCTTGTTGCCGTCCCAACAATGAAACCTTTCTCTATTAAGCCCTAAGAGAGGAATAGCAGAGAAGTCCTTGAGGCAAAAGTATTTTTTAAGAGTTGTGTCTGTGTGCATGCACGTGAGGTGATATCAGGTAAAGTTTGTGGGCTTGAAAGTGAGAAGAGGCTTATAATAAATGAAATATTAATTTTGGCTCACAGATCCATACAGCTGACATTTTGTCACATTAAGTGCAATAATCTCAAAGTAATTTCCAAAACTGTACACCCTGAGGGAATGTCAATAACTCCAGTATAATTTATTTGAAGTATGAAAAGGTCTCATCCATCATCAGTGACATTTCCAGCTCTAACGCTAAGGTGTCAGTCCCTGCTATCTCACACTGACTCACCTGTGTGGGTTGTTTTTTAGTGTTTTACTTCACTTCCTGTTTTTCAGATGGACAAAGTGATGCACAGAGAAAGTTCACATAATGTAATTTTTTTAAATTGAAGACAGGAATAATTGAGCTTGCTTCATAGTTATTGCAGTGACTTTTGAGAATGTAAAGGTTTAACAAATTCAAACTACATACAGCACATATATGATGAAATGGTGGAAAACCGAGAGGCTATATTGTACAATTAGCTATTTGCAATTTACATCACAATCATTGAAACAATGAAGTATTAAATTCCTTGTGGAGGAATGGTTTCATATCCTTTACATTATTTGCTCAAATACATAGGAACTGTTGAGAGATAGTCAGATTTTTTTTCTTCATCCACGTTCCCCAGAAGATGAATCATTAGTTTTTCAACAGTTTTATCGTGAAATATCTTAAAAACTAAAAAGTGCTTGCTATGAATTTTATTATATACATTAATTGTTCCCAGAAGATGAATTGTAATCACTTTTCTGATCCTCCAATTCCAATTTCCTCCTATTCCTATAGTGCTGGGTTGACATTAGACTATTGAATGCATTTTCATTAAAGTTTGAACACTTCCAGCCCCTCTGGATAAAGTGAGAAGCTAATCCTCTGACTTTTCATGTAGCGCCACTGTGACAAGCCTGCTGAATACTTACCAGTACCAAATACCTGCAAAGATAATTTACCATCAGCCTCAGGTGTGCTTTATGTTTGGTGCTATTAGAATATGTGCATACTCATTGTTAGCATGTTGCTATGCTGATCTCAGTATTAAGCTAAATACATTGCTGTGAATAAGGCATTGGGTATATTTGTTCATTTTGTATATCTTTATGTCTGCATCTAATATCTCTGTTCATGTCTGCCCTGTATCTAGTATTGGATATTCGGTTTTATAAATGTAATTAAGTACAAAAAAATTCCATTAGAATATCAAGCAGTATAAAAACTAAGCCACCTAGTGATAAAAAGCCACTCTGGTGTCTGTCAGTGACCCAAAACCATTAAAACACTTAATGTTGGTATTTTCCATTTGATGGAACTTCAAGTGTGGATATGGAGCGGTGGGAGAGCAGCGAACAGTAATCATTTCTGGAACAAATGGATCCTTGTTCGCACGTTGGTAAACCTTTCTAATGTGAAAACATGCTGTTTCAAAGATGATAATTTAATTCCACAATGCAAGATCTACACTCTTTTCTTTTTTCAATTAAAGGAGATGACTCAAATGATAGCTTTTCCCTTTGAAGGAGCTTTTTAACTGATCAAAAGAATCACTCATCTTTTCTGATGTGTCAAAAATAATCAAGGTTCTTTTTTAATTTCACTTCACCGTTTCTTTGGCTACTGTTCTGTTGAGTATATATTCTGAAATAACAAGGAGATATTATTAACTACCAACAAGGGATTACAATAATAATAATGAGGAAAGGATGACTGAGCCAAGAGGTTTTATGAAATGTAGCAAAGGTGTTTGCTTAAAAAATAACAAACCACTGTCTATTAGCAAAGTTTAGACAAACAGGGATGACAAAAATGCAGATTCTCTAAATGCTCCCGGGTCACTAATGGAGGGTCGCTGTTAAATCAAAAATGAAAGACAGATGAGACATGGCACTGTTCCGTAGATGATAGCTGATCATCAGTCAGAATTGTTCAAGTCAAGTGGATGTCAGAAAATCTATGTGATTATTTCAGACCATTTCAGCCAATCTCAGACTCCTTTTTTTTTAAGAAATGATGTTATACCCACTACATCAGAAAAGAGAAAGAAGCTCCCAAAAAAATCCACCACAACAAATGATTCAAATTTTTCAGTGACGACATCTAAAAAACATATGGAGCATTTATCTATGAATCCCTTTCTGCATGAATAATTATATAGCTTGGTATCAAATAACAATGCATTGAGATGGAAATAGGTGGGGGAAAAGGTTTTGATTTGTTTGTTACAGTTTTCAGAACAACACAGGTTCAGTGTGGAGTGTGTGTCTTCCTGGTGCAGCATTCAGCCTCTATGCACCTTCCCATCCCTCGCCCTTTATTATGCTGCACATGGGTGACACAGGACCAAACTAGCGCGGGCTGCTCCAGCTGCATCTGCTTGTGAGCCCACAGGGAACGGCATGTGTGTGTGTCCATGTGTGTGTGTGCTCTGCCTGCGCACCAAGGCTGCCAGAAAATATGGGTAGCGCACAGGGATTGCAGGGCTCTGCACTTACCTAAGCCATTCACAGGCTCAGCATCACAGAGTTGATTCAGCACCTTGCTAATAGCGCACACATTAACTGCAGCACAGATCAGAGGAGGAGTGCAGTAATGAGAGGGAGCCCGCCGTTTATTGCTTCTGAGTGTGTGTGTGTGTGTGTGTGTGTGTGTGGATGTCTGTGTTGAGCAAATCTGTGCATGGTGCGTCTAGTGTGCTTTTGTGAGAGAAAGAGAGAACAGAGGCAGAGGGAGGGAGAGAAAAAAGGGAGAGAGAGGACGTGTGTTGGTGAAAGCTGGGAGGAAAGGATGGCTGCTCATGTTTGAACTGCCTCATATGCTCAAAGGAAGAGTCAAGGCAAAGATTCAGCAGGGAAACAGACGTCTCACTGGGGGACGCATCTTGCTCATCATTTGTGGGGAAGCAGAGAAGATTTGGCAATGCCCGCTGAAGTAAAAGAGGTAAGTGTGTGCTGGAATGGCTCTATTTGTTCTGTACCCTCCCTCTTTTTTTTGCTTGTCAGTTTTTTCCTCTCCTTCCTGCAGAGAACTGTAGCCCTCCACAACTTTGCATTCTGCCTCTGTCATGATGACTGAAGGAGGCATCAATCGCTTTACCTCCTTCCCTCTCCCTGCTGCTCGGTGCAGTCTCCTTGTACGCATGGGGACATGATGCTAACATCTTCATCAAGTGTGTGTTTGTGTGCACGCGCACCGCCAAACATGTGTGCAAATGCATAGGCAAGCTTATAAGGGGGGGGGGGATCATGTTTGATTGCATTATAAGGGGAGGTTATCCCTCAAG